AGACCAAGTAGTCAACAACAAGGCCCAAAACCCCATCATGAAAATACCAAGAAACAAATATGGTGGTTAACATTTTATAGGCAGACAGCAATGCCTCTTCCGACTTCTTCCGACGTGTGAGTGAGTATTCGTGTGAATACTTTGGGGATGAAACTTGGTAGCCGTATTAGTGTCCATCGTGCGTGGTCTTACAGATATCATTATCACACATAATGTAAAGTGTAATACGGCGTACTTCCAAGTAGCCAATAATAATGACAACAACATCAAAGTCAGCTATACAAAAAGTTAAAAAGCCGGCATTTGCTCGCAATTTAACCGAGGAACCAAAAGCATTGATAGCGGGGCAATGGTTGTTACCAAAAAAACCCTAATTATTTTGCATGGTTCGGTGTGGTAGTTTTTTTTTTTTTTTTGTAATTACAACTTTGTTTTTTGTAAACCGGATGTTATCAATCGGTAAAATAACCAAAGAAAAAAAAACGTACAATATATAGGTCTAGGAAATTTACAAATCAGCAGTAGTTATTCGTATTCAAACTTCGTTTAATTATTTTGCCAAATGAATATGATTCGCTAATTGTTAATTAGTTTTTTATAAAAAATATATTTTATTTATTTATGAAAGTTCGATCCTTTAAAAAAATGTTCACAACTTCAAAATCAAGGTCAAAACAACCTATTATTAAGAAATAATTTATGCATTGATTCAATAAAAAAGAAACAAAATTATTCATTGGAGGTGGGATTTCACACTCATTGGGCGAATAATTTTAGGAAAATATTTATTTATATATAATATGAAACATTCCAAAAAAATATCACTTAATTATAGCGCTGGATATAATAAAAAATCAGTTCTACGTACCTCAAATTACGTTCAACTTACAATATAGAGATATTAATTAATAGCTTACGGATTTATTATGGCCAAATACAGTGAATCGCCAAATAAAAAAATACGTTAATAATATGTTTGCTGTTTACAACAAAGCGACGCAACAAAAAACAAAAGTGAAAATAAGCCACACGCACGCACATAGTAAGCTACAAAACAAACTTTTACTTTCAACAAAAAAGTTACAAACAACTGCAGATATTTGCGAATTTTGTAAACATTTTCCATTCGTTAAGATTGAAGGAATACCGTGTTTTTTGATTAAAGGAAAATCAAAGCTTAAAACTTAAGATCTGAGCTTAGACTTAGGGGACAAATCTATACCCAACCACAAAACGTTGGGAAGTATTTCAAGGCTATATATCCCATAGGCATTTAATTCTTATATATGAAGAACTAAAATTAATATGGAATTAATATTCGTCATACACTACACATTCTTTGATTGAATTATCGTAATTATATTGAATATGGTAGTCATTACAGAGCTAACACTTTGGGCAGCGAATATTTTCCCTTAAATTTAAAGCGATTATGAAGAAAGTATAACGTCGCTTCATACTATAATTCGAAATTAATTGTAGTGGTTTGCACTATACAACAAATACATTCTGTGCACATTTTTCGTCGTCAAACATTTTTTTGAAAATATCATGATTTTTAGTTCTTATTCAAATTGTGATATGTATTTCCCTTTAATATATGTTTCTCAAGCTGTTGTATTAATTAATTGTGCATATAACATAGCTCTTCATGTTATCCAAAAATTATAAGGAAGGAGTTATATAAAATAAATATAAACACAATATAAAAAGAATTGACCTCATATTTGGTTTGAATATTAACTCAACATTTCATTGAAATTCTGGAGGAACTGCAACAATCAGGGCTCGATTGTTGTAGTTCCTCAAATTTAAGTAGTGAAACTGATTATTAACTTCTTTATGTATTAAACAATAATATGACAGAGTTTAAAAACAATAATGTATAAGAAACAATAGTAAATTAGGTATGTAAATAAAATATGCATGTCGGTATGTGTCGTTGGACACTTTATGTAATACATAAATTTATCCTTGGAGTGACACCAGACATTTAACCGCACCAATACAACTCCAACCACGTGAATGGAGTAAATGCCACAAACACTATAAAATGAGTGCTCTTAAATTCAATTTCATGCTATGCCACAAAGGAACAATTTGTCCATAGCCGTGTTGCATGAGTTCGTGTTCACATACACTCATACACATACCAACCACACTCTTTGCTCATGTTTTATTTGTGAAGTGTTAAAATAAAACGGTTGAACGCATTCCTAATGACGTAGTCAATTTTGAGATTTTCAACGAATAAACTCCATGTATTGGACGATGCAAACTACGATGACATACATCAAATTGTTTTTGAAAGTAAACACTGGTACATTGAAGAATAACTAATTGGTGCTTTAATTTCAATACGACTATGCCAAGAAAATATGTTGTAAATAAAATCGCATAAATTCGAATTGCGTTCAAAGAGTTTCCACTGTATTTGCAAAGCATGTGACTTTGCTGTTCTCCGGGACAGGCGCATAGGTGCCAGAAAACACCAGTTTAAGTAATTAGCTTTAAATGACGTTTTGTAGGTAAGTTTGAAATTTAACGCATGAATGTTTTGTGGCATGATAACAACAGCAACACAAATATGTTGCCAACACATTTCCACCAACAACAACCCACTTTGTATTAAAATAGTCTAACGAATGAATTGTCCCGTGCGAATAATTCTAAAAAAAAATATTTATTTAATGATGTAAAGGAATGCCAACAGTCAGCTCTTCACTGTTGACACATTTTTCCATATGGAATGGTGTTGCCACAACATCACAGCTCCACAATGAACTGCAAGTCAATACCATTGAAATTTCATTATTCACTTAATTTACTATTTAAAATGGAATAGCTGTCGATTAAGTTGCTCAAATTAAAGTGGTATTTGTTTTAACGCCAGGTAAGCCACCTAAACCATCTATGGACAGAGCTTCTCGTCCCCACCCATTTATTTGCAAAGAAAATCATATAATGTCAATGATTGATTATATGTTGTTGTTGCGGTGGTTCGAATGCATGGCTGACTGGGATGGAAGCGATCCATCGAATGAATGGCCAAACTCAAGCCGGTGTTGCATTTGTTGCGTTATTCAATTAGCCATTAATTGTGTGTAGAGAGCTATTTTTATTTATTGTTGCAAAGCAAACCGAAGCCAATTAAAACTATTTTATACGAAGCATTTCCATTTTAAGTTTTACTTACTTTTCTGTTTCTGTAACTTTTACTTTTAATGCGAATAAATAAAAGAAAACTGTCTACAACAATTAGCTCGATAGGTCTGTGTGTGTGTGTGTAACATTGTAAAATTGCATTAGTAGTTTTTCATTTAATAACTATTTTTATAGTTCAAATGTTTTCGATAAAAAATGCCGCAGATGATGTGGAGATCTTGTTCTTGTACCTAATTAGATATATTTCACACATATCGACATCAGAAAAAGACAAAAAAACTTGTCCATATTTGAAACTTTGGTTAGCAATAAAGTTATACGTAATACGCATGTAATACCAAGCCCGAAAACGGCATGCATCGGCTCATTACTATATAGTGTGCAAATGTTGCAATTTTTTCATTTATTATATACGTCTGCCCTACTTCAACAACAAAATGTGTGGGTCAAAATATGAGCCCAACATAACATATGCGATTTTTTCTAACATAGTAGCAGGGATAAATAAATTTAGACTCTTTCAAACTATGATATAGCGTCTGAGAAGAAATATCATATGATTTGTATAAATAACATACACAGTGTTCCAAATACAAATACTCAGTTGAATCAATTTCGGATAAAATATTAGAATTTTACACTGACTACTGCATATAACGAACGTTTCCCTAATTGGTATACTAGGTATAAATAACGAAAATTATGTAAACTTGTTATTACCATAGTTATTATGTTAATTATTATATGTTAGAAATGTGAATTAGCTTTTGGTTTCATATAAAGTAACTGCAACTTTTTTAATATAATTGCGACTTAAAATAAACTTCGCGATATAACGATATATCATTCGAGCGTTCACAATTCTTAAATCAATCATCGTGTTTTGTTTTTGCAATGCATGACAATTGACAATTTCAATTAACATCAATACATAAACACCCAATTACCCCCTCCTTTCCTATTCATGTTTCCACGGCGATTTAACATTCTTATATTCGGAGAAAACAAACTGAAAAACAATACCCCATTTCCACTTAGCACACAACCTAACGTTGACCGACAGACCGACCGACTAACGGCACAAATCAATTTAAATGTCAAACCTATGTTAGACGTCTGCATGTCGGCAACTATAAATTGATTTGATGTGTTAATTTACGATAATAAAAAATGATTTAGAAATAGCAAATCAAATTAAACAATGCCACGCAATTTAGACAATCCAAACCAAGCCAAATCAAAACATAACATAACAAAAGTGATAGATGTTGGGACTCGATGGTTGGTCAGTGTACCAAAAAAACAAAACACCTCAGATTTGCAAGCCGGCACACAAAAGCACCTTAAAAATAAAAGCAAAAACAAACGAATCAACAATAAGTCCTATGTCATCGTAGATATAAGAAAGTCAAAATGCAGCAACGCTTGAAGATATCAAAAGAAATAAGAAACTGAAACCGGATGTATGGTCATAAATCAGAGAAAAGATAAAGAAAGAAATAAAAGTATAATACTGAGAAAGTATTTGATTTTTATTTATTGGTCAGTACCGAGTTTTCACACAGAGTAATGGATTATCATAGATTAAAAACAAAACTGTCTTAGACCGTCCATGAACTTCTAATGAAAAAAAGAGGAAAACTTTAAAACAGGATGTGTTGACGACTGGGATTCGAATGTGTCAGACATTTAATTACATATTTATAAAATGTTTGAAATAAATATGGATTATGCATTCAATCCCGAATCAGTGAAATGAAAGATGTAAAGTATGATATCATTTCAGATTCCTCAATCCCAAGTACTTAAAACCCCTTCTTTATTTTCTAACTCACCTTTTAACGGAGTTTTGTTTGGTGTCGTCTTGCTATCAGTGCGTCTGGTATTCAATTGGAATTTTTTTAATGGTGGCGAGCCTTTAATACTGTTGGTGCTGCCACCTGTTGGACTGCTAGCAGCCGTCGATGTTGTGGATGGAGATGGTGTTGTACAATTGCTCTGGGCATTAAAACGTTTTTCTGAAAAAAAGAAACAAATGAAATAGATTAAAAATGTGAAGTATACTTTTAGGAGGAATTAATTTAGTTGCGGCAACATTCATTAAACTTGAAGCAACATTCCTTGTACCAAATGTTCCCAATCACGCTGCCTCCGTTGTTCACTTACTACGTCTATGTTTTTGTATAATTGTTGGAAGCAAATAAAAACAAAACATATGACCCTTCTTGAACCATGTAATCTTGCTTTTAATGTTCTCCAAGATGTATCACCACCACCTCTTGTAATTTATTTTAAGTAATTCGGCGTCTGTTGTTTCAAGTGTAACATTGAAAATATTCAATAAAAATATTTATTAATGTCAAAACGTTATAAGAAAAATACGCACACTATTCTATAAAAAATAACAAATTTTACATACATACATGTTTATGCCCTACGGTAAATACACTTGCGACGCATATTTATGAAAGATGGGATTTATCGGTCTTCTCCTGCCTCCCCCAAAAAGGGTAAATATTCTAAATCTCATATAAGTTTGAACGAAATTTCAAATTTCATTCAAACTTTGCACATGGTAATATATTTACTTTGTTCTGTGTTGTTTTGTTCGACCTTTTGATTCTTATATAATAAAACAATATATTTTTTTGAGCCGTTGAGGTCTTTTTTATTTTTCATCAACATTTCCACAATTGTTTTAAATTGCATTTCAGGAAAATTTTGAAATTAATGACATTAATTATACAGGTATGAAGTGACAAAATCTTACAAATAAATATTCACAATTTCTTAAAACTATTATAGACTTCACTATCGTCGTCGGATGTAAATATTGCACTGAGTTTATTTTGTAATTGCAAACAATATATCTTTTTTGTAAGGTGTCTGTAACAGTAAGCTAGTGAAACAAAATTAATTCTCTTTTTGTTGGTAGGTTGTTTATGTGTAGCATTTCCAATGTAAGTCTCCTATGTAATGTTTTCTGTTTGAAGTATTTGTAAATCAAAGTTTGGATGGTTGTTGTTCTTACAGTGTTTTGCAAGTGCTGTTTTTGTGTATTATTCTGATTCCTTAATTTAATGTCAGATTTGTGTGCCGATAATCTGGTTTTTAATTTATTTTTTGTGGTTCCAACATACACCTGTTTACATTTTTCTTCATCGTTTCCATCGCCAAAATTATTTTTCCTTATTTTTTTACTTTCACATCTTCAAATAAATATATATAAAGTCGTTAACATAATATATGCTTATTTGCCAGCCGGTTTCAAATCGTAAACATTTGAAATCGAGAATGGGTGGTGGTATACAAAAATAATAATGTGAGGTATACAAAAATAATTATCAATAAAAGCAATGATTACTAAAAAAAATATCAATATTGGGTACCAGAAAAATAGGATATGTTGCAAATATTACGATCAAAAATTCTCAATATAATCCTCAATATGTATATATTACAATACCAGTAACATGGCGCCCTATTTGTTTACTTTAAATTTCACTTACAAAAATTAATATGGTAAATAAAAAGTTTGTTGATAACAGCTTTTGGCCAATTTCACAGCATGAAAATTAACTGTGAAAATTGATGCCATTAACAGGCACTTGTTCTGCTATCTAATTAACACCCACTCTCCTCTGTCCCCCATTACACCCATATAACTGTCAACTGAATTGAAAATTGGTTAACAAACACTTGACCACCATGATCGTTCGCCACCATCAAGCATCCTAAGAATCAATGATGGCTCCGACTGAGCCACTTCTTCTGTCTGAACGCATACACATCATGGCTAAGAACCAACAACAGTCGTCAACTGCAAAGACACCCAACAAACCAGTTTACAATGATTGACCAAAGATGATAAACACATCCATACATATGTATGTATGATGCTGGTCATTTGTTTTGCTTGACCAAATTTAGTCAGAACCGATGAAGACCTGCTTCTTTTGTTTTGTTGTTTCTATCTTGGTAACAGCTGCACTTCGTATTCTTTGTTTCTTGTTACTTCCTCAGAGTGTGGAGTAAATTTGAGAAGAGAGCACCTAATTTTTAACATCATTAACACCTGTTATCTATCGTCTTGGTGTGAAAACGGTTAACAAAACAAAAACAAAAGAAATAATCAACAGTCAAACAACGATGAGCAAGGTAATAACACGTAATAAACGACAACAAGCGAATGAGATCATCTCTATTTGACTCATATTTGGGCAGACGTGCACACCAGCGTTGATGCGTTCTCTTAACATTTTTTGATGTTAAAACAAAAATAAACCTTAATAAATTTTTTTCCGCAATTTTTTTAATGAATTTATTTTTTAAGTTCCTAACTATTTATATTTTAAAAATATTAAATTAATTAAATTCCGTAGAATTATTCATGTTTTTATTTTCCCTTAACAAAATTTTAAGAGAAATTTTGCCCACCATTGATTTGACTTGAATGCATTGTTGTTTGCAAGTGAACACATCAGAGTTAGAAGAGAAAATGACAAATGCTTAAGCAACATGTTGCTTCGGTTTTTTCTCTTTGAATGCCTCTCTCTCTTAAGCCGTTTATTTAAAAAATCTCTTCGATTCCGTTGGGTACCAATTCCGCACTCAATGTCAGTTCTGTCGGTCGGTATATTTTACAACAGGTTTTTTGTGTATTTCTCGATCTGTTGGTCTGTTGTTGCGTCCGCTTGAGGAATTCAATGACACAGTACCAGATATTCGACGAACTTGTTGTTTTAGCATACACCATTTTCAATCTAGTTCTCAACAGTTTGTAAATGTTCAAGTAGCTCGCATGCATCGGAGATATTTCTATCTCCGATGCACTAGACACGCCAATCCATCAACCAACTGATCACACTGCCTAAGTGTCATTGTTCATAAATCGCATAACAATTATTAGCATTCTTCGGCAGTTAAAATGTGGTCCAGTGTGGGCTTCAAAGTCATCAAGAATACCTCTGTTGACTACACAACTCGTATTCATGTTGACTGCCTTCCGAACAAACACACTTGTTGTTCAACGATGCTCCACCACGAAACTACTAATCAACAACAACAACAAACTGTGTTGGTAGTGCCGAAAAGCGCAAGTGTGAATGAACAGCGCAAACAGCATGAATGAATTGGGGGTTTTTCGAGTGGGCCGATTTACGCTAATACGCTGATAAATTAGCATTGAACTATATTTTCCCATGTATGGGCGAAATTTCAATTCAATTTTACAAAATGCCCAACAACAAATCTGCAGATAAAGCTTTCAAAATTAATTAGCATAAATAGTTTGTTGAATGGGTAAACGGATGGAAGACAAAAACCAATCCAGGTGTGGACAAATACGTGTACGAGTGTGTATGTTAATTGGTGTATAGAGTGCGAAAACCTCTGAACGTGACAATTCGGTATTTACATTTTTAACGGGGGATTATTTGATATTAAACTATTTGATGAGAACTTATAGTAAACAGTAAAAATAAATTGAGCCTGATTATAATCTAATTGGTCAATTTTCAATTAAACCAAAAGACCATCAAGAGAATTCTAGAATATTTTACTATTGGCTACAGTATGAAAATCACCTATTCTGTAGCAGGTGAACTGAGCTATTCTTATTTAAAATTGTCTAATACTGAGGGTTTCAAACATATTAATCTAGTATCCCTTAAATATAAAAAAAAAAACAGAAATATTAATCGCAAATGTATGTTTTTACAAAATAGGAGAAATATGAAATATCAAAACAAAATTTTCATACAGTACATGTTGTACCCGTACTGCAAAAGAATCTACTAATTTATATTAGTCAGTTTGCGTTTATAGTTTCTAATAACAAGTGCCCTGTTCATATGGACTTTAAACATTCCATAAACTATAGTGGTGCATTGTACGTCGATGAAAGCGTTAGCTTAGATTGCATTAATCTCTAAAATGCCGCAACAAGTGAGAAATTCACACGAAAGTGCTTCTGTTCGAAGCACGAAATGTTAAACCAGTATATGCCAAGTATGGCTTGAATTTCAAATGAGATTGTTAACTTTGTACTTATGTAATGATAGTATCTTTCAACACAGTGGTATTAAACATTAATTTTTGGTACTTCAAATTAAATGAAGACATAAACAGAAGTCAACAACATTTCTCATTTTTACCACTGTGGAGCATTGAACACAATGCCGCGGATTGAAAGACCTCCAATAAACTTGCAACAAAGTCCACACAGTCAACACAGCTATGACGTTTTTCGCACATGCCGCAATGAATGCGAATAGACTGTAATTCACTTTTATGATAGGCAGGTGAGTTAGTTGTTATGTGCTTTCTTTAAAATAACTGAATTCAAGTAAACACACCATGTTATAAACAATTAAAAGAATTGCATTAATATCTGATACGCAAAGTCTCACCCACTCCTACATCAATGTTGGGTCTCTGTACATTTGGATTCAACAGATTTCAACTATAACTAGTTATAGAACAATATTTGTAATGAGATTTTAAATGTCAAATTTCAGTGGATTCTGATGACACTTAACGTAAGTAATATTAATATCGAGCCAATATTAATATAACGTCAAAGATGTATGTTTTTTTTTTAAACATGCATACATATTTCGGTTCAAAATTAAAATAGCTCCCATATCAATTTCATTAGTTTTCACATTTAAGCTATACAACAGAGATTATAGAAGTGTGGCCCTAACCACTATGATAGTAATCCTTCCGTCAATTATTATAACGTCGATTATTTACATTTGTTGATTTATCCAGAATTTAAATAAAAATTGATTCCAACTTCAAGATACCCTTCTGTATTATAAACCAGTAAGGAAAGTAGTAAAATCGGAATGGGCAACTATATGATACCCTTCACCACTATGGGTATATTTTACATATGTATCCTAACAGACATCGCCTTTTCGAAGGAACGTGTAATCTTTATTTATATGTGAATCGACATTCATTCGGGCAGATTTGGAGTCATTTCGTTCAATGGGAGAAATGTATGTAAATCGATTTGAAGCAAACTTGATACACACTATTCGGTATGCTGCACTATTCAAAATTTAATCTCAGTCATACAACCGTTCGATATATATGTGGAAGCTATATCTGCATCGACACCAATTTCAAGGAATCGCAATGACATCATTATAGTCTATTCACACTGCAGTGCACAATTTACACGAAATCAGAAGAAAATATATATGGGAGCTATATCTATATCTGAACCGATTTTCATGAAACTTTTTAAGACTGTGCCAAATTTCGTGCAAATCGAAAGATATATAGGGTCTTTGGTGCACCATTTACATAAAATCGGATGAAATTATATATGGGATCTATATCTAAATCTGAACCGATTTTGTCCAATCTAAATAGAGTTCCCCCTTGGACCAAATAAATGGGCTGTGCAAAATGTCATCCAATTCATAAATGCGACCTGTACTTTGTTTACAATACAGACGCAAGACCGGACACGCATAAATCGACTCAGAAAGTGATTCCATGCCTATTCTCAAAAGGAACCATGTGTCTATCACGTTTCATTTTGTCTTTTACAAACATGTGCCCAAAGACATAATACTCTGTACGACAGGGTGGTGAAGGGTATAAAAAGCATTCTCACTCACAAGGTCAATCTGACAAAGACATATGAAACATTTCCCAGTTTGGATATGGATGAGTCATATAAGTGGAAACGCGCTATTTAGCTTCGTAGCGATCATTAATCAACAGGACAAAATTAATTGGAATGATTTCTTGACTATGTTTGGGGTGATGGACGTGTCACTGCAAATTCTATCTGGGATATGCTCTGAGATCTGGAAACAATGCCATAAAACTTGGTACAAATTTAGATTTTCTAAATTATGATTCTTTGCGGCTTAATTAATAATCGCTTATCTTTTGTAATCCTAAGTCTCGACTACAACAAACAAAAATTTTTGAGGAACCACATTTTAGGCACCAGGGCTCGAAGGGATGGCTTATGGTAAGCTACGTGTTGTAGTATAGATTTTTCTCGCAATATAGATGTATTTTATACATCCCTATTATACCTCCAGGTAGACTCGAGTTATTTTACTAAAATATTTACGTATTGCATAAAAAGTACACAAATTCAAAATAATTTAGGTTACAATGACATAAACGACATGTGCATTAGAACTTTTTGCGGGGTTAATGGGGAGAAATTCTGCAGCTTAGACCTACTGACTTGCAGGGATCATACGGACCGAATTAATCAATGAGCATAATGTCTTTACCACCTCATTACCCCGAGTTACTGCCGGAGCTTACAGACTATGGTCAAAAAATACCATCAAAATGTTAACGGGGCCAAACCATATTTGAAAGATACAGAAGCATTGTGTTAGAAAAAACCCAACAACGACACAAATATTAATACTTGCAATTAAATAATGCATTTTTGGTATCGCACACTTGTATTTTGCACATGTCTAGATTTTCATTACAACTTCGTCTGGCTACTTACGTGTTAATGTTAAAACCGCCGGTTTTGGCCGTGTTGAGGAACCATTCGATGTTTGTTGTGTTTTTGGTGGTGGTCCCAAATCGGTCGGCGAAATACTCAAATTGCGTACATCGCGTTTCTTGGCTGCTCCTGCAAAGGAAGAAAAAAATAAAAATCGGGTATTAAACAACATTGAATTGCCTCGTTGAGTGGGGTAAAGCGATGCGTGAGCACGCTTTAAGTGTTATCCATAACTTTTGAGAAATTGAGAACGCGAATATAATTTCATTAAATCGTTATGGCATAAGCGTGACCATTTTCATATTTCATATCATGTCGGGGGCACGGGCGAATAAGAAGAAAGTGCTTCTAATCTAATATCTGACACTCAAAAATGTACAAGCATTCTTTGTAAACATTGTTGGAATTTTCATTTAAAATTTGAGTTGTTTGTAATTTCGGTACAAAAATAAATAAAGAATTTTACATTTAGAGTTTCGCTTAAAATTTCGTGTTTTTCTCCAAGGACCTCAAATTAAAGTTTGCACCTAAACCGACAAGATGCAACATATGTTTCGTTGGTTCCAGGGACATATAAGAAATATTGCTATTGATTTACTCATTTCATTGGGAATTTTAATCGAAACATAATTCATATTGGAACATATTCTGCCTACGGCTGAATTCGAAGCCAATATCTGTATCCGATAGAACTCAGCAAACAAGAGTCAATTTAAAAAAAAATCCATTCAAACGAACATATGTTTGAATTTGCGGTTTCTTTCATTCGCAAATGAAGGAATGTTCCGCTTTAAGTGTGTGTATATCTATGGAAGTTGTGTGAATTATTGTAATTGACAGACAGTGCTCCCTCATACACAGAGATGAAATGAATTCATTCAATACACCATTTGTTTTTTTATTTGTAAAAATCCATTAAGGAAATTTCAAGTAAATGAACCAAACAAAAAGGGGGAAATAGTAATTTAGCAGCAGAAAATACATCTGTTAGCGGGACACACATTGAGCGAATGGACAATAAAAGTGCTTGTTGTCCGGGACATACAGTGACGGACTTTTTGACTTTAGCATCATGGATTTTCAGATTTAATATTATTGAAAATAGCAACAAGTTAACTTAAAAAAATGTGAGCCTGTGAAGATACTATTTAAGTTTGAAGTTGATACTTAAATATACACATTAGACGATTAACATTAAATTTGTATACCCTTCACCACAATGTGGTACAGGGTATTATGTCTTTGTGCATATGTTTGTAACAGGCAAAAGGAAACGAGATAGACAAATGGTTCCTTTTGAGAATATGTATAGAATTACTTTAACTGAGTCGATTTATGTACGTCCGTCCGTCCGTCTGTCAATGTTAAATTGTAAAGAAAGTACAGGTCACATTTATGATCTGAATTGGATGAAATTTGACACAGCTCATCTATTCGTCCGATTTAATGCAAATGGTGTATCAAATTCCCTATATATCTTTCGATTTGCACGAAATTTGGCATAACGTAAATCTAGAATTATATGTGTTAAGTTTCCTGAAAATCGGTTCAGATTTAGATATAGCTTCCATATACATTTTCGTCCGATATTATATTAATTGTACACTAAAGGCCCAAACTTTGTACGACTGTCACTCAATTTTGAATTTCTGGTTTGTTTCGTTTGCACAACGTATCAAATTGAGACTTGAATGACGTTACTGCGTTTTTTTTTTAATTGATAAAGATGCAGACATAGCTTCTATATGTTGTAGACCGATTTAAATGAATTTGTATAATAGTACGCAAATACAGTCGAGTACGCTTATAGCGAACTAGTAGAGACAAAGAAAGTTAGTTCGATAAATAAGAAGTTCGTTATATCAAGGTAAGGCAAAACATAGGCTTAGCAGAAAAAATATATATATATCAGTTAGAAACTGGTTTTGTGTAATTTTTGACAATTCTTAACGTGCTTCTCTTTTTCGTTGATGAATCTGACATTACAGCTGGCATATATTTTTAACGGTTTCCAGCGTTAGAGTAAAAACTACATTTTGAGCGGATTGTCATCGTCAATATTACGTATATTTGTAGCAAGTTCGTTATAACCAAATTAAAATTTATAAAAAAGTTCGCTATATCCGTAATTAGCTATAAGTACAAAAATGTGTATGAAAAATATTTCTCAAAAACTTTAGGGCCAGAAAAAGTGTTCCCTATAAATGAAGTTGTTCGTTCTAAGTGTACTCGACAGTATTATTAATTCAATTTTAAACTATGTACAAAAGTAGAAACACAAAAAATGCCGAAAATAACTTCGACATTTCCTGGATCACCGGTGTTTGCTTATCGTGACATGTATTAGATGTGGATCAGCAATATCTATATGTACATTTTGTAAATTTATAAAAGGATGTTGATACGTTATGAAAACTTTTCTCTATGTGTATTTTTACCAGTTGTTTTTTTTATCGTTACCAAGAGTATAGCTATCATAAAAAACTAAACGTAGTTCAATTACTATATTTGTTATCATAGACATAAAAAATACCAACCTTTAGCACGTTTTCCAAAACTACCAAAACGTTCCCTTTCGATAACTTGGGCGTGGATATAACGTTCCGAATAGGAACGCGACAATTTTTCCTTTGAGCTGTGAGCGCCCATATTGTTGTAGAAAGTGTACGCAACTGCACGATTTAATTATTCACAATCCAAGAACAATTCTGTTTTAATTTTGTACAAATCGATAAACTAATGTGAATATATTTCCAAAAACATTTCTAATTTGATTTTAGACGTAGTAACAGCAATATCGATATTCAAACACATCATATTTTGTAGTGCTCTTTATTCAGCATCATCATTATTTCACTCGCAATTTATTTCACACACATTGATTGATTCTGTATTCTGGAATATGTTAACGAAGTTCATACATCGTTTTTTATTTATTTAAGGAAAAAAGTTTACATTAACCCAGATATGCCGAGTGCACTACATGTACACTCTGATCAATAAATTTATTAATAATTTATAAATTTTATCTGCAATTTTTTCTACGGCATATCCGGGTTAATGCAAAGCCCTTGAGCCAAGAAATTGAATTAAATTATAGGTCTGTTCCCTTACTGCAAGAATCTACTAATTTTTACTATATTTTCCGATATCATAAAGGAAAAATTGTTATCGTAGTAAAAAGTTATACATTCTTGTAGGTACTGGAACATACTATATATTATTTCGATTTATATTTGCACTACTTTTAGTCCACACAAACACACAATTTATTTTTCAAAAGCAGTAGTAAAAAAACAATTTTCAAATGATATTTGGAAGACTTAATGTAATAATATTCACTGTTGATCCAACTCTTGCCTTTAACCACCTAAGAATGGTCAATGTTTTAATGCTGAAAACCATACCTCCAATTTTCACTGCCAAATACAATTGTCTGCCAGCCTATTTATTCATATTTGTATTTATTTCAAAATTGCAAAATCCAAATATGAACATCGAAAAACACTCAACAAGTATGTTCCTTGGCTATTTCGAAAGAATGACAATAATTTCTTTCATAACATTCCCAAAAGCAGCAGATCCCTTCTTCAGTTTGAAAAATGTGAAGTGTATTAGTTCAAAATTATGTAATGCCACAAAATATTAATTTTTAAACAATCATTTATGACCTCGTATGTCTTGGGGGCAATTGTTCCGATCAAAGGCAGATGTATTTGTAATTTGCTGAAAGATTCGTTACAGCAAACACCCCACGCAGGGAGAAAAACACAGTCCAATGAATCTCAAAACATAGAAGCGAGGTCGAAAAGAAAAATCACACATCGATGTAAAACAGTCCTTCCACTCCCCTCCAACAATTGGTAGCTTTTTTAATATATACCTTCGGTTGTTTTTCTTCTACATTTTTACATGCCCAGGTGTGTCTAGTGTGTACCCCAATTTGGATTAAGAACAAATCTTTCCACGTGGCATCGTAATTTAAAAGACTCCGTGGCGACATGCTTGCTACCCACACTTTTTCTTTTCGGTGACAAATTATGGTCGAAATCAAGAATTCGATTGGGAATATTTCTATGTGAACAAAGATGCCACATTTGAAGATGAGGAATGTTGGACAAAATTTCAAAATGTCAAACATTTTATTGGAAAAATGTAAAATATACATAAGTATAAAATATGTGACTAGCGATTTAATAGTTACGAATATTTACATTCAAGTTAGAATGTAACACACACCTTACACTATATTTACACGTGGAAGGTGCTGTGGAAAACAAATGATCTGGCAGCTATATTCACATATACGTATGTATGTTTGTGGCACAAACAAATAAATATCAGAAATAAATGTTAGATGTTATTTATAAAAAAAAAAAAAAACATTCAAAATATTGGCCAAAAGACATTCATCTGTCAGTTTTTTTTCATATTACAAGCGTGAGAAAAGAGAACTAATTTAATGCTAGGAAACGCACAGACAAATGGCCAGTCATTTGCACAACGATCCCATCCCAGCAGAATGGGGGTATGAGTGAAAACAAAATACTACCCAAAACATGGTGACAGATAAAAACGCCACACTGAATTTCCTTTTGAAAATAAGTTTTCCCTTAAAATAAGACATGGCATATTCAGATCACAAAAAAACACACACTGGCTTCTTCTTCTGTTCGCTACAACTCTAAACATGCATGCCTGAATGTGTTCAGACCCTAAGTGGCTGTTGAGAGAGTTTATTTTTAGATATTTCCTGGTAAATGCCTGTAAATGTCATCTGAATTTAGCTGGGCATGATTGTGACGGAATGAATGAATGTTTGTGTTCCTCTGTCTTTTTGGTAATATTATTGTTAAAAAAATTAACAAGGTGTCGGCATGGGTGCGCGCAATAAATGCATAATAATTGTCCGTTTTGTTGGGGGAAATCTTATATCACGTTTCATTGTCGTCGGGTGATATATGACAAATATTATATAATAAAATATTATTTAAATTTGAATGAAACGGAAATGGAAAACAGAAACGCATTCAATTTCATCAATATAGAAAGTGTGAATGTCAGGAACAAATACTTTTTCTTTGAAATTAATGTGACAGAAATTTTATGGCATCGATCAAGACAAAAAATGCAATGATTAATCAAATATAATACTAGAATCCGAAATTAATAGAAATTAAGATGTAGGTTTTACTCCGGCTCTTATTGAATAAAATATATCGTATAATTATATTTAGTCACAACCACGTTATCACTTCCGGATATAAGAAGGATATCTAAGCCGACTTCAAATACATTGATCAATGGATATTGACGTGTCAGTAAATTTGGCTCAGTGCAAATGAAGTATATGAATATCGGTCATAGATGCGTCTGTACGTATGTAAATTTGTTTGTAACGTCTGTATGTGTTTTGTGCGTGTTGTCCTCTACTTGTATTAATATTTTCGAGAAACACTGACACACAAAATATTCCTCTTCATGTGGTGACATAGATTTCGTGTACGAAAGAAAAAACCCGAAGATTATATTGAAATATCGTTTTATTTTTAATCTGCACCAGAAACACACAAATTGTGGCTACAAAATTTCTTGTTTGTGCAGTTTTATAGTTTTGAGATCATTTGCTCGCTTTCCTTGTGAAATCTTTGCATAAATTTTGGCTAAAATTATTTCAAAGTAAGTCGTGTACATGAGGAGCATGATGGGCTGGGTGCGTCGGACGCATTTTAATATGTTCATTTGCGTGTTTTGTTTTCTTTTTATTTTGGTGTCGAAAATCAGGCTACAGAGGAAATAGTGCGTATTTTGCAAAATCCCATATAGACACAAGAAAAGCAAGAAAACAAAATTATGGTAAGTGGATATGTGTTTTATATTTTCCTTTTTTTAAATTAGGCAAACTGTATAGATGAATGTGGCTAATGGGGCACTTAAAAACTATGCATGCAGGCACAAGTGTTTGACTTGGTTGTTGTGCCCATTTCAGTTAAACAAAATATTGTCTCTATGAATTATTTAGCGCACTGCGGCTAACATCGACAACATATCGGAGCTTTAAACGCAACACACATAATTATCTTATTTATCTTATATTACTTCAAATGCAACGAAAACATAAACAAAATATTACTGAAATATGTATACGTAACACAGCACATCTTATCAACAACTTCATTTGCACCTCAAAATTTACAGCAACAACGAAAAATAATATTTGCATAAATATCCATTGGATAAAAAACAAATATTTATAAAAGTTGGTTGGGAAGTAGAACGGAGGACATACCTACATACATATCATATATGTGCGAATATAAAGGAATTAATGTTCAAATATCGAGGGTGGATTAAAAAAAGTATGACTGAACTGTCTGCCTTGTAAAATGGCATAGGCGAAAAAACAACATCTAAAATATTCAAGAACCACTTGTTAACATCCAACGACTTAACACAAAACAATAAAAGCCCTCAAAGACACAGAGCAAAAAAGCCCTGGAAACAGCGTTTTTTGCTTTAAACTATTATTTCTATTATTACAAATGTCAATTATGCTGGCTGTGGAGTGTAGTTGAACTTTTCATTCTCCCATGGCGTCAATTGTATGATTACCCTCATTAAAGTTTGTTTGCAAAATATAAAAAAGTGCAAACTAGTACACCGTTTATTTAAGGGGTTAGCTACACAACGGCAGTCACAACACAATCCTATATTTCTGTTACATTCAACTCAGGATAAGCAATTGAGGAATTCCGTAATGGAAAATGCTTGAATTTAAGTCTGAGTCTGATTTTATTTATTTTTATAACCACATTTTTAGCAAAATACTTACATATAAATATGTATATATGGGACAAAAGGCTTTCCAGAGAATATATTCCTCATATTGAAATGCTTACTTATTTTTACTTTCGCGTGCTTAAGAGTTCGTCCCATCCGAACTTTACGTTGATTTTAACTGAGCGGGCGAATATCACTCAAGATCTAGATAACATGCCTCCTCACCTTCTAACTATGCCCTTAATAATTTAAATATTTCCATGCCTTTACAGGTGTTCGTATCACCAACTAACAACCTAAACTACTTCAAAATATGTTCCTGCAAAGAACAGACTATCCAAACTTCGCCAAAGAAACAATAGCTCAACAATTGGAACAATTGCTCCACAACAATGCAAAACAATTCTAAATTTCCATTACTGAATGAATGAATGGGAAAAGGCGGAATTCACACCATTTTCTCTTTAATATGTGAGAAAATAGGTAGCGTATTTGTTCACTAACCGTGAGAAACACATACACTTACATAAAACGTTATTGTAATCATGGCAGAATGAAACGAGTTAAAAAGGCGTTCATTTCGGCGTCCCCAGCTTTTGTACATTTGAAATGCAAAAAACAAAATGTTGAACTTTAAGATGTATAGGAAGAATTAAAAATAACCATAACCATAAAAATAACCATTTGCGAGAGTTTATCATTTATCAATGCATAGATCTATTGATATTTTGGTGATACGATTGATTTTTGGTAGGATTTATGGATGTTTTGTCAAAAAGTGATATTATATAGACACGATAAAGGGAGAAGAAATAATTACAATCGAATTATAATGGGTCCAAATCTTTGTGAATTATACGAAGTCGGGG